AAAGAGATAATATGAGAAAAATAAAAATAATAATAAGAGTAAAAAAAAAATCATTCAGAGTCATTACAAAATATTCATATACATGTATACATCTATCTATATTATATTGGTGTTTTATTTATCTATTATTTGATTGCATTTAATTTTTTTGTATTGAAGCTCAATTTATTTGCTGTTTGGTCAAGACTTTCATCTAATTCTGTCAACAATTGATTTTGAATCTCTAATTCATTATTAATAGCAAGTCCGATATGTTTTTGTCTATTTAATATGGCAGTAAATTGTTCAACATGCCGGTCTTGATCTTCCATGGCCTGTTTTTGTAATTTTACCAGACCCTCATTGTCAAGACCACGAGTTTGTTCAGTTTCGGCTGGCGTTGCTCGAGCATTACCAAATACTCGTCGTGATGAAAGATTCGTTTGAGAATTAGTTAAAATTGACGATGTCGGTGACGTGGTTAAACCATTTTCATTGGCTGGTGTATTCATTATTGCACCACCTCCAAATTTACCAAGTTGTGGTGATGAACGCTGTCTAATTGGTTGTCGGAACAAAGCAGCACGATCAATCGAGCTAGCTGGTGTGGTGGCCTTGCTATAGTCAGGTCTATTTGCTAACACAAGTTTTGCTAAGGTGTCTTTTTCATCTTTGAGATCATTTAACATATCTTGTCTTCTCCTGAGTTCACCTTCCGACATAACCTTACCATCTCTTCCAGAACCTTTTGCTAAACCTGTAAGACCGCTTTCAAGTTGTGACGCTCGAACACCTAGTGTAGCTAAGCATTTTTTAGCCTGTAAACTACAATTATGTGAAGCTTGTACTTCGTTTTTTGCAATATGTGTTTCACGGCGATTAAGATGTGAACGAATCTCTTTGGCTAATGCTTGGACTTGTTGAAATTCATCAAGCCAACTTTCAAAAGTATACATATTAATAGGGTCGATTGACCTTCCAGTTGGTATGGCTAAAAATGCTTTCCATTCATCAGTTTCTCTCCAACGATCATCTCT